GTTTTGGCAAGAGAAATGAGACCACCTTGATAGGCTTAGACCATTTGCGATTCACCTTCATGAATGATGCACAAAATCGGGGATCTGTTGGCCAGGAAAGAGGGGGAGATTGCTGTTGGGTTGGCACCCAATAGCATGTACCTTGCTAGTGTTGTGTGTCTCCTGCGAACCTAGCACTCCTCTTGGGGCAGGGGGACAGTCTCTGGGACAGACTGTTGACTGATGACAGAGAAGTGGAGGCCGACTTTCAGTAAATGGTGTTTGATGGATCTGATGGTGTCGGTGACTTTGCACAAAAGGGAAAGGCACAGCTGAGGATGTTTTTCAGCTTTGTCATTATCACCTGATATTGTCCCTTTAATAGTTGGGGCAACTCTACTTCTAGATGCACGGCTGGTGATTCTTATTGATTTGAGTGGCTGTCCAAAGCCAGACTAATTGGGCCCAGAGATTGGAACAATGATTCAGCAGGAAGGGGTGAACTGATGAGGTCTAGTCCACCTGTCTGCTGGCTTTGCAGCAGTTCTTTTCTGCTCACAGTGGTGGGGAGCTTAGTGGGCCATATCTTGCAAAGCCAGACTAATTGGGCCCAGAGATTGGAACAATGATTCAGCAGGAAGGGGTGAACTGACGAGGTCTAGTCCACCTGTCTGCTGGCTTTGCAGCAGTTCTTTTCTGCTCACAGTGGTGGGGAGCTTAGTGGGCCATATCTTTCTGCTATTCTCAGTGCTGGAGAGCAGAGTAGGACTCACATGATCTGAGCCAGTGGTAAGACCATAATCCCCAGGTCCCAACCACCCCGTATCACTCCCAGTTACCTCCTAAGCTTCTGAAGTCGATGATGAGCAACCCCTTGCTCTATCACCCTCAAGGAATCTAACCATGGCCATCTACTATGCTCTCTGTGTACCATGAATGAGGTGCTCGGCTATGTTAGAGCAGAACTCTGGCCTGAGCACCAGAACCTGACCATAGCTTGATGTTATCCAGCCCATCGCAAGGGTCTCTAAAAATAAAGACCTGTGATAGTCATGTTTTTGACTTTTTTTTGAGCAGCATTTTCAGTGCATGCTGTCTGTCATCTTATTTCTTTTCTAAATGTGTTGCTTGAACAGTGGGTGGCTAGGTAATGTTTGTGTTGGCACAGAATCCAACAGCTGATTTTATTTTTTAAAATATATATAAAAAATAAATCCAGAGACATAGGCCATCCCATGGAAACTTCTCTTCACCCTATAATTCTGTTTTCCAGAAAATGTGCTCTTTAATGAGTTATTAGAACAAAGATAAACCCCATGAATGGCAAGCTACTTACATCACTCTAAATTGATTATCGATCCTTGCCGAACATTCATTTTTACCAGTTTGGATTGGTGCAGGTGTTCTATCCAGTGTGCTACTTTTCCATAGAACATTATTTCTTTTATGATATGTAATAACTCGATAACAGCAACTCACATTTCTGTTGCACTTTGCAGTTTACGAAGCTCTTTCCTATGCCTTATCATGAACTTCTTATTGTATTGTTTTGTATTGTATTGCACGAGGCAGAACTGCATAAAGAAAGAACAAGAGAAATGTGGGTCCAGATCCTGTTTTGACAATTACAAACAATGTGACCTTGAGAAGTGCTTTAACCTCCTGGAAACCGTTTCCTTCTCTGTAAAATGAGCAAGAAGAGAATTAATGAAATGTATGTATATAAATGCTTGTAACACTGTGCTTGGCATGTCATAGGTACTAAATAATAATTCCCATTTTTTTTTGCTATTATAAATAACAGTCACTTATTTTCAGACTTTCATATGACTCTCCTTTTCTGTGTGGACCACAACTGATTTTTCCTCCTGTGAGCCAATGACCCTTTTATTATTTTACCTTGAAGGAACAATGAATTGCTGAATATACCTTGATTGATTCATAACGTTTCAGATCAAGTAGAATTCTGACATTCTGAAACTGCGATTCCCCAAAATTCAGAGATAATCGCTTTTTCCTCCAAAAGCTCAGAAACAGAAAAACTCAATCCATTTGGATAACACAAATGTGAACACATGCGGGAACTTCAAAAGGTTTGTAGAAAAATGGAATTAAAAGATAATTTGAATCTTTCCACGAACATTTTGAATATAATTATCTCAGAGGAGAATACAAACCCTTGGAAATATTCATTTGTTTATTGATTCATTTATTCACTCATTCATTCAAGTGAGTATTCAGTAAACATCTGCTGAGTGTTGAGTATGTGGGAGATACTGGTGAAAACATTGGCTGTTGTGAGAATTTTATGGAGAAAATACATTTTGGGAGAAAAATCAAAAAGTCAGATTGATAACACATGTTTTTGGTTGATTACGCCTGTTGTCAAAAAGAAAAATCGAGATGAATCTACTTAGGGCAGGCTCTTAAGAAGGGAATTGAATAAAAACACAAGGTGAAACTTGGAAGTTTTATTTTACTCCTCACATTAGGAAAAGCCAAAAATGGCAGCAGCCCAAACCATTTGGACCAGATGACTCTTAACCTGACCCCCTCCCCACCTAGTGAATTTCAAGGGATTAGTGCATCCTGTGAATTACGTGCAAAATTATGTTGAGTAGGTACATTTTCTGGGCTTCATAGCTGGCATCAAGTTTTCAAATTGGTGACCTGTAAAGTGGATGGTGACCACCGCCCCTCCACCAAAGCTAAGAACCACTGACTTCCATTCAGACAGACCTTCTCATTTTAAAGGAACCAAGGGAGTGATCCATTACCCACAGAATGCTTTAGAAACCAGTTTTATGAGTACTGAAAAGTTTTTTGAGTTATGAATTAGTCTACTAATTAGTTATTAGCAGTTAATATTAATCAATAAAATCTATGACTGCTTTTATGATTAATAACATTAGGTATTAATAATAACCAATCGTGCTAGTGATGACTAATTATATAATTGATCATAACAAAAAAATCTTTAACGTGCTTTTCAGTGCTCTTTGGATATTAATGATAATTAAAAATTTCACAACTAACAATGACCATACAATAAATGATGAGGGATTAGTATTTGGCCAGAAGCTTTACCCCCAGCTATAGACCTCACCAGGCTGCAGGTAGCATCTTGTGTGTACCGACGGCTGGCCAGGGTAATCACCCGTAGGGTAATCAGTCAATATTGATTGAGTCTCATTGTGGCTCCTTGCCTTGTCCCTCCTGGGCAGGCCCTGTGGAATTTAGACTGGATAAAAATGCTATAGAGCTTTTCTTGCCTGAACTCAGAGCCCAGAGAGTGGAATTCAGGTGGCTTAGATGACGTGTGTGCCCTTGGCCCAGGCCTGAGTGAGTCGCTTCTGTTTCCCGCGTGCCTGCTCTGCCCCCACTTTGGTGGCAGCCAAGGGCCATCTCAGGACACTGTGACTGGATACGATGCTGGGTCTGGTACATGTGGTCCAGGCCTCTCTGCTGCCAACTCTCCCTTTCAGTTTTGTATGACCCAAACAGAAACAAAACATAACTAAATTGATTATCATAAGGTCGCAGGTCCAGCCCAGGCAAGACTAGACAAGACTGAAAAGAAATTAGACTACAGCCTAATGTAATTAAATAGGGTTTTGGTAGAAATTGAGTATAATAACCCTCTGTGATGATACTGTTAGAGTGGCATCTGGTACTTCACCCAGGACATAGAATTTAACAACAAAAGCTGTTAAGTAATGCCTTGTGGTTAATGGCCTTGCTTGAGATTTATATCTTTTGTATCCTATGTGCTTAACACAGTGCTCGACATGGTATCCTAGACCAGGGCAAAAAGAAGCATAAGACCAGGCTCTTAGTAGGGGTTCAGTAAGTCCTTCTGGGAAGGTTGGAAGGGGAAGGTCTTTTGATACCAGCTGGCCCACAGTTTTTAGTTCTTGCTCATTGCCATCTGCTGTGGCCAGGAGTGGAGATGGGTATTCTTGGAGAACTCGGACTGTAACCTATCTGAGAATTACTGATCAGTCAGTGGTTTTCCCCAGGCCTGGCTTTGAATGCCAATAGGAGGGCTTATAGGAGAGTAGGAGTGTTGCCTTCTGTATTTCCCTCCTGGGATTCTGGAACACCTGTCATGTCCCTGGTACACCCACTGCAGAACTGTCATCCATGAACTTGTGAGACCATCTCAAATCCAGGGCCCCAGGGGTCGGGAGGGGACTATGGTGTATTCTATACATGTCCCTGGGCTGTTGTTCTCTGCCCATGATGTTTAATGTCACATCATGAAACTGACACCTGAATGCCAGACAAGTCTCCTAAAACCCCCCTTTTTCATCATGTCATCACTGAAGAATCCACAGTGGGGCCAAATAGCTAAAAATCTGAGCTTTTAATCTGGCTGGTCAAATCCCTTATCTCTTGTTCCTCTTGTCTTGTCCAACCTTGCTTTCTTCTTCCAATTTATTTTTTTATCCTGAACTATTTTAGACATACAATAAGTATAGAAAATAGTATAGACATTTAAGTACCAACCACTCAGCTTAAGAAGTAAAAAAAAAATGACAGTCACAGTTGAGGCAATCCCTCAGCATGTTGTAAACAAGACTGTGAAGAACAAATCTGGGGGCAGCAGTTTAGCAGAATGCTTAGGAGCAAGGGTTTTAAAGTTGGGGAGACCTAAGTGCAATTCTGGCTCTGTACTTCCTCGATAGGCAAATTTGGGAAAATCATATAACCTTGCAGAGCCTCGACTTCCTCATCTGTAAAATGGGGATGACAAGATGTACCTTCCAGAGTGGTTGCAAGGATCACATGGAGCAGTGAGTGAAGTGCTTAGCCCAGTGCCATGGATGGAGCTATGGTTACTGCTGGCGGCTGTTGGGCTGTCGTTGCCTTGGACTTGGTGCAGACTACAGAGATGGGCCCCAGCAGAGCCGTTTCCCTGCCCACCCTTACTCCAGAAGAGATCCAGGCATGAGGGTAGGAAATGTACCTCCCTTGGTAGGTGCCGTGAGCCAATTAATAGGGTGCTTGGTGGATTTCAGGTACTTGTCCTGGCTGTGAAGCAGCTGTTCCCAGAGTTTGAATTTATGTGGCTGGTGGATGAAGCCAAGAAGAACCTGCCTTTGGAGCTGGATTTCCTCAATGAAGGGAGGAATGCTGAGAAAGTGGCCCAAATGCTCAAGCACTTTGACTTCTTAAAGGTAGGAGGGGCAGGACAATGGGCAGATGTGATCTGGGGAAGAGTGCAGGTGGAGGGAGCATTGGTCTCTGCCGTGATCCATCTACCTTTCAGGACATGAGTTGGGACATCACCTTCCTTAGTCTTCTTACTGAGGATGAATGGTTTGTCACTAGTGATGCACATTAAAGCTTTTGGAGGCAATTTACAAAGAGAGACCAAGTGTGATTGTTGACCTGTCAATCAATTAAGCAGATGTTTATTGAATAATCTACAATTGTAAGACACTGAACACTACCCAAGGGCCTATATGCCATGGTCTCTGCCTCCATGAAGCATGGGATGATGATGCTGGTGATGATGGTAGCTAACACTATTGTACCCTGGCATTGTTCCAAAGACATGTATATTGCATTAGTTCATTAAATAACATGGTTAGCTCTGCTATAACATAACATATGTGTTCCTAGAAATCACCACAGTATGCTAAATTGCACAACAGAAACCACAGGGATTATGGGGAACATGGGGTTTTTAGACCCCATTTTGGAACTAATAAAAACAGTAACATAGTTTTACACATGTTAAAGGGCTAAGAAATACATAAGATCACAATACACATGGCACTTTACCTTGAAATCTGCTTGTGGCAGTGGCATAAGAAGGGTTGCTGCTTGTGGTTATTATGAGGTGGTAGATGGAGGGTCATCTGAAATGGGATGGAAAGTTGTAACACTAGATGTGTGACTCACCCACACATGCTGATATTTGAGGTGTGTGTGTGTGCCATACTTCCCTTGGGGCACGGTTCAGCTGGATGCAGTTTTGTGTGTTTTTCACAGGTGATAGTGCACATAAGCAATTGCAAAATTTGCTTTATAATCAAACTGTTCCCTAATATATCAATCACATTGAACAAATTTGTGTTTTCAGAACGAGTATTATAGCAGAACTGCCTGTATATAATAGAAGACTCTTAACATGGGCATCAGTGCCAAACAATACAAAGTCAGAGCTGTAAGTGCCCCGTGAGGGATACCACTCCTAAGTGCTCTGAGAGTTCAGAAAAAGGGACTCTGTGATCCGTCAGGTCAGGAAAGGCTCTGCTGGAGAGGTGGCACTGGAGCTGGTCTTTGAGACTCTTCTGATGTTCTCCATGCACTGGAGCTGGTCTTTGAGACTGTTCTGATGTTCTCCACGGGGGACACAGGGGTTGCAATGAGAGAGATGCATGCAAACACCACTGTTCTTCCAACACATTTTGTCCTTAGTGGAGTTTGTACTCATTTGTCCAGGAGTACCCCTTCAGGGCAATGATACAGGGGTTGGAGGGACACTCTGTTAGTTTACACAGAGAGCTTGGCTTTCAAATCTAGAAGAGATCAGCTGTTCTCTCTTCCCGGAGGAGGCCTGGCGAGTGCAGGAGGGAGTCACAGAGCCCTTGGGCGCTCCATGTGCTAGTTGCAGAGCAAACAGTCATGTAGCCCTCTTCTTGGGAAGGGTGGCTCAGAAGGTTGAATGGGAAGGGCTCTATTGTCTGTACTAAAGTGTTCATGGGGCTCTTGAAGACATCATGAGAAACAGAGGTAGTGTTTGTACTTCTCCTGTACTCCTGTTGCTGTGCTAGGAGCTGGGGCTTGGCCTCTGCCCTGGAAAACTCCATATCTAGTGGGGGAACAAACACACAAATGTGTCTATAGTACAGGTGGCTTAGTGCCACGACAGACACTTGCCTACCTTTCTGTGCATTCCCAAGAGGAAGTACTTAATTCCACCTAGGATAAAGATCTCAGAGAGGGCTTCCAAGAGTGTTCACTGTACACAGGGGTAGGCAGTATTTATCGACTTTTTCTCCTGTGCCAGGCGTGACGTTGAATCCCTCCAACAGCCATCATCCCATTTTACAGATGACAGTTTTTAAGTAGAAGAGCTAGGGCTAGAACTCAGATTTTCTGACACCAAGTCTGGTGTTCATCTCAGGATATTCTATTGCCTTTTACCCAGCAGGGGTGCTCCTTAGAGCCAGAGCTACGAGTCAGACAAACAACCATTTTGTCTACTGTTTCCATGGAAACAGCAAAATCGTCCCCTGACTGGGGCCAGCTAGCAACTGCCAGACCAAGACACATAATAATAATAATAACACAAATTTTTGAAATGAGGACACCAAATGGATAAATAATTAATGTACCGATTTGACCCACTGCTTCTAAAACTTGCACACCATTCCTAAGACAATGGTGAATTAAGGCTCCTGAGTAATTAATTTTGCCTAAACACATAACAAGTGGGAAGTGAATTTTGCGCTGTGAACCCAGTTCAGCTCTTAAAACTGGAGATGGATTGCTTTTGCACACTGGCACCCCATCACAACATCTGTGCGTAATTAAGCCTCAGCAAAGAGTTTACCTCTCAGTGTGTGCTGCATCTTCCAGTGCTTATGTGGGTTTAATAACCTCAGCCCTATGCTGTAAATCTCTGAGCCTCAGACAAGTGTTGAATGCAAATACGGTGTCAGGGAGACTGGGAGAAGGTGAGGGGCAGCCAGCCCGAACAGTGAAGATCAGGGAATTAGTGGATTTCGCATCAGAGTGTGTGTGCTGGGGGGAGGGGACGGCTGGGGACAAGGTAGCAGGGGAGAAACCTTATCACTGCAGCAGTTAGGACTGGAAGAGACGAGAGAGTGTTTGTGTGTGGAGGTGGAAATGGGCACGGGTCATCTCTTGAGCAGGGCCACTCCAGGGTTTCTTAGTGAGAGATATGGAGCTTGAAACTCTCAAGAAATTGTGGACAAACCCTAATGGGATGTGCGTGCTTTTGGGGAAATGTCATAGCTTCCTAAGAATCTCAGAGATTAAGGACCACTGATGTATAACGATGAATACTTAACATTCTTCGCTTGCATACGCTGTGCTAGATACTTTTAAAAGTGCTTTATATGTATTTAGTCTTTAATCCTTGTAACAGCCTGTCTTAGTCCATTTTCTGTTGCCATAACTGAATACCTGAGACTGGATAATTTCTAAAGAAACAAAATTTATTTCTTACAGTTCTGGAGGCTGGGAAGTCCAACGTTGAGGGGCTGCATCTGGTGAGGGCCTTCTTGTTGGTGGGGACTCTCTGAAGAGTCCCGAGGTGGTGCAGGGTGTCACATGGCAAGGGGCTCATGAGTAAATTTATTTCTTACAGTTCTGGAGGCTGGGAAGTCCAACGTTGAGGGGCTGCATCTGGTGACGGCCTTCTTGTTGGTGGGGACTCTCTGAAGAGTCCCGAGGTGGTGCAGGGTGTCACATGGCAAGGGGCTCATGAGCGGTGGTAAAACTGGCTCTTATGACATATCCACTCTCCTGAGAACTAGCCCATTCTCTCTGTAACCCAATAATCCACAAATGGATTAATCCATTCATGAGGGCAGAGCTCTCATGACCCAATCACTTCCCAAAAGTTCCCTCTCAACACTACTGCATCGGGGACCAAGTTCCCAATACGTGAACTTTGGGGGGCACATTCAAACCATAGCACAGCCCTACAAGGGAGTTGCCATTATTAGTCCCATGTCATCAATGGGGAGACTGAGGTCCAGAGAGACCAAATCATTTGCCCAAGGTTACACTGCTTACCAGTAAAGGGCACAGGCAGGCTTTGAATGGAGGCCATCTAGTTCCAGGTCCTGCATGTTAAACCACTGTGCCGTTCTGCTTTCATAATAATTTATGGGGAAGATCTGAATTATAGTGAGCATAACTCTCAGCCCTGGTGTGTCCCAGAACCCCCCGTGAAACTCTATGTGGCTGTCAAAATGGCAGCTGATGTTTGTCCAGCAGCTGCTAAGTGTCTGGGACTGTGTCGAGCACAGTTCTCTGCTCGTGCTGGTGGGAAGTGGGGGTGTTGCTTCCACTGTAACTGCTACCACTATTTTACAGTGATGGGGACACTGGCACTCAAACTTACGCATAGTCACACAGCTTGTAGATGGCAGAGCTGGGTCTCCAGCCAAGCAGTCTGACCCTGGGTCTGTACTGTGCTCTGCTGGGCTTGGGCTCCCAGAGGACTGCAGAGCTGGGGGATGGGCACTGGCCTGGACCAGTCAGCGGCTGCCTCGCAGGCACATTGTCCAAAGCACGGGAACAGAGTGGAAGCACAGGGTCAGCCAGGCTGTGAGGCTGAGGCCCAGGGTCCTGGGCTGGAACTTCCATAGTCTGTGCCCTCCTTCTTGGGGTCAGCAGTGGCTCAGTGTGGGAGGCGGGCGGAGCCTACAAGAGTGGGGCCTCTGTTCTGTGGCAAAGAGGTCAACCATGGACCCGGGGTCCTCATGGCTAGGATGTGACTTTGCCTGTGGGGGTAGCAGGTATCCTGACCATGAGCCTCCCAGAGTTTTGTTTTGTTTGGGGTGGGTGTGGTTCTGTAAAATTCGCCTCTTTCATTTTTCCCTTCCGTGATGGAAGAAGTGGAGGAAGGGGCAGTGTTGAGCATGGTGTGAAGCATGGTGGTGAAATTCTACCCAAGCCCTCTGGAAGGTGGGAACACATGGTGATTTAGGGGCAGGTCCCTTGTCTTAACTGAGTCATTTCATGTTGCATCTGCTGAGGGACACCTGCTCTCCTCCTCGAGCTCCCATGACAAGTGCCTCTATTTCCCAGGTTTGACATTTTGGTCATTTCAGATCTAAGCAGTGGAAGTTGAAGCAAGGGCCACATTCTTTGTATTTGGGGAGAGACTAGGGGGAGGTGGAGCAGGGGACGCCAGCACACCCCTGACCGTGATTCACAAGCCCAGAGACTCTCCAGCATTTGGGTTCCTCTTTCCATCTGTGGCTCTTTCCTGGCTGTTTTCCAAGTTGCCCCCAGCAGGCCCATCTTGGGGTTTGACTTCCTTTCTCCAGAGCCTGAGGGGCCCACTGCCAAGCTCAGCTTTCCAAATGAACCTGAGTGAAGAACTTAACTCCAAAATATGAATTCTCTTTCATTTGGAAACCATGAAAAACAACAACAACAAAACAAACTTGCACTCTTTTTTTTTTTTTCCTGACCGGTAAGGGGGTCATAACCCTTGGCATGGTGTCGTCTGCCCCAGGCTCAGCCAGTGAGCGCACTGGCCATCCCTATATGGGATCCGAACCTGCGGCCTCGGTGCTATCAGCGCCGCACTCTCCCCAGTGAGACACGGGGCTGGCCTGCACTCATTTTTTTTAAAAAGATACTTTTGAAAAATGTCAAGCAAGTCTACATTTTAAGTAAATTTAAGTCAATTTTCAAAGTAACAGAGCGTCACTGATTTCTCTGTTGGCCCAGATTTTCAAATGGCAACACTGCAGGGCAGTAGCAAACCAATCTAACACTTTGAGTTCGGTTGGGAACCTTCGTTCTGACCAGAGTGTTTCACTTGTGTGTACAGCCCCATGTATTCTCAGAGCGCCTTACTGAGATTGGGCAAAAACAATTCTCCCTTCCAGTGGGGAAGATTGAGGCGTGAAGCAGTTTAGTGGCTGGTCTAAGACACAACAGGGCAGAATTGGGAACAGGCAATAGGTCTCTTTTTTTTGTTTGTTTGTTTGTCTTTTTCCGTGTCCAGCAATGGATCGCAACCCTCAGTGTCGCCCCCGTACTGGACCGGGACCGGCAACGGGATCGCAACCCTTGGTGTTGCTCCCGCGCCTCGCTCAGCCAGTGAGCGGGAACCGGTCCGTATGTGGGATCCGAACCCTCAGCGGGAGCGCCTCTGCGCTTCCCAAGCGGCACACTACAGCAGTGCGCCACCGGGCCGGCCCCGGCAATAGGTTTCTTGACTTGAGGGCTACAATCTTATTGCTAGATGAATTTGAGGGGTTAGGGAGAGGGAAGATCTCATTTTCTGAAGCATTTGAATGAGCTGACCTTGCTTCTTGATTTGCAATAGGAAATAAACCCATCAAAATTTAGGGGGAATGTGACATACTGAAAGGCCAGTAATTCTTCCCTCCTGGCTGTGGTGGCACTGATGGGTCACTCACTCATGTGGCAGCCTGGAAGCCCTGGGTGCAGTCCTGTCTCTTGCCTGCTCCTGGGGAAATCTGTTCACTTTTTGTCTTTTGGGTGTTCTCCGAGTCAAAGGGGGTTAGAGAACGTATCAGTTATTAATGCATTTATCCGTGTGGGTAACTGAAAGCCCCCTGTAGAGTGTCTTAACTAAAAAGGATTTATTTTCCTCACATAGCAAGAAGATTTGCAGCAGTTGCCTGCTGACATTGTTTTAGTGGTTTGACAGTGTCAGGGCTGGAGTCTCTGTGATTTTCTTGGATTTTTCTTCATGGTTGCAAGATGGCTGTTGCAGCACCAGGAATCCCATTCACTTTCAAGGCAAGAAGAGATGAGAAAGAAGAGTAACAATGTACAAACATCCCTTTTTATCAGGCAAACCCCAGAATCCTCTAGCAGACTCCCACTTAAGTTTCATAAATCAGAACTGTGTCACAGGACCATACCTACTATGAGGCAGGCAAGGAAAAGTGTTTAGTGTTTTTGTCTCTGGGGAAGAGGAAGATTGGGAGTAGATGTTGGTTTAAGATCCAGCATTGTCTGCCACAGGGGCCTTGTAGGAAATTGGCATGAAAAATAAAATTTATCATCTGGTACAAATTTATTTATTCACTCAATACATATAACACACCCATTACACAGGTGAACAAACTGAGGCAGAGGGTTAAGATTCATGCGAGGAGCCTGAAATGGTCCTGGTGGTGGGATGGGGAGAGGGAGATCGCTTTTAACACCAATGCCCAGGTTTGAGGCATTTCACACATTTTCATCCCAATTCCCAATTTTAGGTTTGGTTCTTTACTGTCTGGAAGGCATTGAGGAGTGTAGAGGAAGCCATTCTCTGGTCCCCAAACAGGAGGGGGTCTCTAGAGGAGTGGGCCAGGGCCTGCCTGGCAGAGGCGGAGCAGCCTGAATTTCTCTCTTGGCCTGGCCCTCTCCTCTGCCTCCCCTCGTCCCTGCTGTGGTCCCTCTCGGGCCTCTCCTGTTGTAGGCAGTAGCGTTTGCTATCCTCTGACTTGCTGAGCCTCATTGTGGTTCATATCCCTGACTCCCAACCTCCTTGGACTGTTCTGACCTTCACTTTCCTATTGCAGATCCCACGAATCTACTGGGAGCTGTCCACCAAGCGGGTCCTTCTGATGGAGTTTGTGGATGGTGGGCAGGTCAATGACAGAGACTACATGGAGAGGAACAAGATCGACGTCAATGAGGTGAGGTCGAGAGCTCAGGGCTGCTTTGCGAGGGGATATGGGCTTGGTTGGGGCTGCCCAGCAAGGGCTGATGTGTCTAGGTGAGGCCTTGGAGTCTGGCCCGTCTTTAAATGGGGTGCATTGTCCGAAGATGTATAAACTCTGAGCAAGAAAGATCCTTGCAGGTCAACTAGTCCAACCCTATACACGCCTGAGCGGGACATGCTGAACCCCTCCCTGTGCAGCTCCCACCTGCACAAGCCATTACCTGTCTTTCTTCCTGAACTATCTGAGCCCCACACAGCTGAGTGTCCACAGAGCACAGTGGTGTGAAGTCAATGGGACCTAATGCTTCTGCCTCTGTGGGGCCTGTTCACAGTCTCCTCCTTCTACCTGCCCTCCCCTCTCCCTGCCACTACCCAGATCTCAAGGTATCAGGCAAAAAGAGGACAGCAGTAGCCAACTGTATCAGCTTCAAAGAGAAGGGAATAAAATGGGTGTCTCCCACCACCCGTCCCCCTGGTCTCAGAAAGCTGGCCAGTGGTGGTGGGGCCTGTACCCCATTTTCTGCTTCTTGGTCACCACAGGGTCCCACAGGAAGGGGTGAAGTTGTACTTTTCAACACCTATCAATTTTATAGTCCCTGCTGTGTGCTAGGTGTGGGGGTTCAGAGGGAATGAAACGCAATCCTCAGAGACCAGCATTGGAGTCAGACACACAACTAAATCCTACAGCCGTATCTTGGGCAGCAAGAGGGGTATGGGCGAGACCCTGGAGAACCATGAGGAATAGGCTTGCACCTCTGCCACGGGTGGGCTTCCCCAGCCGAGCGAGTAGGAACTTGCTGAGGAGCAGCATTGCAAGGAAGGGGAAGGGAACAGGTGAAGTTTGGCAGGGTTGGAGCGGGGTTCCCTGGCATGTGGGGAGATAAGATGGACGGGCAGATGGTGCAGGTCATTGGTTTGGTCCTGGAGATACTGGGGAGCCATTGAAGGGTTTTGAGGAGTGCAGTGATGTGATCTGCCACTCCAGTTGGTGGGAGGGAGGAATGGAAGGGACCAGACCCAGTGGAGGTGATCTTTCCTGCTCCCCTCTTGCCAGGCAGCACCCCAAGATGAGCATGTGGTCCCAGTGGTGAGATGGCCTGGAGCAAAAGGCACACCTTGGCTCAGCAGATGAGCCTGGTGGAACGGTTGGGGGTGTGGTGGCTGCACAGGCTCCTGGAAGCTGTGTGGCCTCTGTAAATGGGATGAGGATAGTGCCTGCCTCTGAGAGGGTGAGGACTGCGTGAGTTAGTGCACAGGCAGTGCTTAGTGCACACAGTGCCTGGGGTGTCGTTAGCACCCCGGAATGGTAGCCAGATTGTGGTCGTGGTTTTCATTATTATCTTTGGGCCCTGTCCTTTCCTCCTTTGTCTCCTTTTACCATTAGCATTTACTGAATGCCTAACTCCCTGCATCAGGCCCTTTTCTCCGTAGTAAACTTATGAGGGAGGTCTTATTGTTTCCATTTTGCAGATGAGGAATCAGAGACTCAGAGAGGGAAGGTAACTTGGTGAAGGTCACACAGCGAGTAGAACTGGGGTTGGGACCTGGGTTTCTCTGATTCCCCTCTCCTCTAGGCCGCAGAAGCAGGGGCTGCATCAGAGCTCACAGAGCTGCCGCTGGGAATGTGGCTGGGGAAGGTTCAGCTGTGGCCAGCTCAGGCCTTCTGGGAAAGCTGTTGTCCCCTGACTTGGGGAACAGTGCTCCAAGAACACATTTGGGGGCCGTGGGAGCTGTGTGTGGGGGGCTGGGGAGGCTGCATGGCCACAGGCCCCACCTGTTTCACCCAGAGCAGCTTGGCCATCGCCTGAGCTGCCTATTGGGATTTCCTGGAGGAGTTCTGATGCTTGTGGGGAAAAGGATCAGAAAAAGGATAATTCAACCCTCCACTTTATAGATGGGGAGAAAAGCCCAGGGAGAGCAAATGTCTTTCATGAGATCGCTTAGTCACTAGCACAACTAGGGGCTTCTAACTGCTTCCCTCCCTATTGGCTTCTAGGTAGGCACAGGGAGGATGTCCGGGTAGAGTACAAAGTCTGGCTCCAGTGAGGAAGGAATGGGATGGGATGGGAGATCTGCTCTAGCTTTTCCTGACCAGCCTTAAGGAAGAACAGGGTCTCTGCCTGCTGATTGGTAAAGATCCTAGAGGCCTCACCTCTGCTGGGTTCCTGGCATTTACTTCCAGCTGTGGTGGGATTTTCATTCCAGCAGCACCCCGAAATCTATTAATCTCTTTGGATCCAGTGACCCCAGGGCATAATGGAGTTTAATCAGAGGGAACTGATTTTCCAAGACAAGTGCAAATACAGAAGGATGTGCTCTCCTGTACTTGCTTGCTCATGGCCGAGTGAGGTGCCCGGGGGGAAGGGGCAGTTGGTCTGGAGGTGGGCAGTAGAGCTGTGGCAGGGTGTGCCCTCTGGAGGCCTGGGCTCCTCTGCTCCTTCCTCCACCCCTCTTTACCACACCTTGCAGATAAAGCCAGCTTCTGGGCAGAGCAGACCCTCACAGACATCCTTAAATTAGTGAATGGGAACATAAACCAGCCTTGTGCCTGTGTCGGCCTCTAAGAGGCAGGGCTAGCAGGAGTGTTGGTGGTTTTCTGTGGACATGCAGAATGGGGCCTGCTGGTATCAGAGTTATTTTGAAAAAACAATTAACAGTAATAAGTATAAGCAACTAATACGTGCCAGGCATGTGACACATACACTCTCTACTCCTTACAGCTATCCTGTGAAGTATATGTTACTAATGCCATTTACAGATGAGAAAGCGAAGCTTCAGAGAGGTTAAACAACTTGCCTGGTATCACACAGCTAGCAGGGGAAGAACCAGGATTTGAACCCAGGTCTGCATGACTCCTTGCTTCCCCACCTTCTCCATCTCCCTCCCTGGGATCTATCTTGGGCTGCAGTGGAACCTGGAGCCACCTGGTTGGCGGCCACCTCAGTAACTACACAAAGGAATTGGAGTGACTGACTGAGACGCTTTGTCCAGTACCCAAGGCACTATCTGAATGTAGTCCCTCTCTCCCTAGCTTATATCAAGGGTCATTTTATCCATTTTATGGGAACATTTTTGCATTTTATCATACCTAACTCTATGATATGTTGTGAGGACTGTATGGGTTAATGCAAAAACAGTGCTTACACAGTGCCTGGTGTGTTTGGCTACCCCAAATGGTAGCCAAATGACTGTTGTTATTATTGTCGGGCCCTGTTTTTTCCTCCTTTACTTCCTTTGACCATTATTACTTACTGACTGTCTGACTCTACGTGCCAGGCCTTTCTGCACTGTAAACTTACGAGGGCGTCTTGTGGCCTGCGTTTTGCAGATGGAGAATCAGAGAGGAAAGGTAACTTACCTAAGGCCACGAGTCTTTTTTTTTTTTTTTTCCTTTTTGTCTTTTTTCGTGACCGGCAACGGATCGCAATCCTCAGTGTCGCACCCGTATCGGACCAGGACCGGCTTTCCTTTTTGTCTTTTTTCGTGACCGGCAACGGATCGCAACCCTCAGTGTCGCACCCGTATCGGACCAGGACCGGCAACGGCAACGGGATCGCAACCCTCGGTGTTGCGCCTGCACCTCGCTCAGCCAGTGAGCGGGAACCGGTCTGTACGTGGGATCTGAACCCTCGGTGGGAGTGCCGCCACACTCCCAAGCGGCGCACTGTAGTAGTGCGCCACCGGGCCGGCCCTAAGGCCATGAGTCTTAATTGTACATGTCTATAAGTTTTCATATGGATCTGCCATGTAGTCAACATCCAGATGAAGACAGATTATTTCTAGACCCTGGCAAGCTCCTGCATGCCCCCTCCCAGTCAGTCCCCTCACCGTACCAGAGCTAACACTAATCTGACTCATCACCATAAATTACTTTAGCCTATTACTGAACTTTATGTAAATGGAATCATACGGTTTTGGGATCCTTGTGACCAACCAGCTGTGAGTCTTTCCTGGAATCTTTGCTGTTCCATTGGTCTGTTGGTCCAGTCTTGCAATACCACATTGTCTTAATTTCTTAATCCCTTGCCCCTGGCTTCTGGGGTTTGCATGATGAGGGAAGCTCTTTGGTATTCTGTGATGATGTCGTTAAGTACTTACTTCCATGGAAACCTCCGGCTGGGCAGTGGGCCCTGGGCTACAGCAGCAGTGCTCTACAGTGCTGCCACTGACAATCGGTGATGCTGGGAGTAGATTAGGGACAGGCCTTACTCTGTAGAGATCAACCTATTATGTCTCTTACCAACCAATGCCAAAGCAACAGGCCTCCTAGAAGACGTGTGTGTGTGTGTGTGTGTGTGTGTGTGTGTGTGTGTGTGTGTGTGTGTGTGTTGAGGATGAAGGACTGCACATTCCTGAATGTTTCAAGTAGACTCCTGAGGTTCTAAAGTCTCTTGAGGACCATGGGACTCAGCAAGCCAGTCCTGGAGTGACTCTTCTTCCCGAGGACAGCCTGGCGTGAGCATTCCTCAGGGAGGGAAGTACAGGGACAGATAGAAGTGACAAGAGGCAAAAATCTCACTCCTAATCCTGGGGTGTAGGTGATTAGTGGCATCTTGGCTGCTACAAGCTGGTGACTTTGCTGGAAGTGGCTCTAGAGAAGCCCCTCCTGAGGTGTGGGGAGGCTCAAGGACCCTACAAGTAGTCGTCAAGTTGGCCCCACTCCACTTTGAGGAGGCTCCTCGCCCTACAGCATCCTCAGGCCTACCGAGTGTGGACCTGAAGACCAGTCTAAATAGCCAGTTCCTGATAGACTTGGATAGGAAAATCCCAGGTTAGGAGGCAAGAGACGTATGTTGAAGCTCTATCCCTGCCAGTGGCTTGCTGTGTGACCTTAAGTAGATCATGTCCCCTGTCTGGTGCTCAGTTTTCTTATTGAAAGCATTGGACTAGCTGGACTCTGAGTCCTTACTGCCCAAATGTTTTATGGAACAGTGATTCTTCAGCTTTGTAGTAGCTGAGACTTGCTCATGAACC